ACAGCATCCCATTAGCCTCTTAACAACAGCGACTATGTCTGGATGACATTTTTATTTAAGTGGCTATGGAAAGACAGCAAGTTACTGTTCATCTAATACCAGAGAGTCAGCAGAAAAGCTAAAACTGCAAAGCTGTTAAGCATTCAAGACAGCACAACAAGAGCCGAAAACCATCTACTTATACCAAGTTTATTTGGTTAACATATATTTTGGCTTCCCCCCACCCAACCCTGTAGAATGAGTATCTTAATTAAAAGCTAGTAGTATAAAAATCAACTTGTTCTGTGTTTAATCTCCAGTGTTGTTAACTGGAAAAAAAACCCAACATTCTTTAAAGGCTAAAGTTCACAATGGCATTTTTCACGAAGAAAGTAATCCACATTACTTTAATTACTTGAATTGAAACTATATATGCACCAGTGTGGTCAAAACTCCAATACGGCCTAGCACAGATGTAAAGAAAATGCTAACAGCCACATAATTTCATTCTCTTTAACATGGTTAGCAAATAAATGCCTTTTTTTTTTTAAAAAAAAAAAAAAATAAATACCAGGGGCGGACTGGGGACGGACGGGACATGACACAAAAAAAATCCCTTTATTCCTATTCTGACACTCCACATGGTAAATTTAATTTAGCAGTTACCATGACTACTGGATGTAAGCCACTCCATCTTTTGCAGATGTAACACTTTTTATTAGAAAATTATTATTTTTATTTTATTAGAAAAACTGTGTAAGAGTAAGGTGGTGGGTGGTGGTTGGGTTGTTTGGGGGGGTTTTTTGGTTGTGATTTTTTTTTTTTAATCCAAAATGTTCAGCAGCAGTGAAATAGTTATTTCCAATGTAATCACTGTGTGTGAATAAACACACATTGTGTGTGTCTTCCTTCACAGTCAAGGAAGACAACCAGGAGCAAGCTAAAGGACTTTACTGAATTCAGTTATCAGCAAAAAGAAAAAAAAAGGAGAAAGCACATTTTACACAAAAGTCAAACAAAACCATTTTGGCAAGTACACAGACACTGAGGTCCGAAGAATATGAAAGCTTCATTTTGAAACAGGGTGTCACTGCATAAGAGCTGTGTACCTCCAATCCAGTATCTCCATAGTGCTGAAGCTGAGCTATACAGCCACATAACCTGATTTAGCAGACGCCACATAATTTGTTCTACCTCCAAAACCCTGTTCAAGATGAATACTGGCCCTTTAATTATTATATAGAAATGAGCTAAGCACAGAAGAGATTCAGCACAGACCCAAGAATGTAAGAAATACGGAACTGCTTTGCCTTTTTTGTCTTTACTGCTCAATGGTGACTCTAAGGCACCAAAGAGTGACGTACCCTGCCAAGTTCAGGAAAAACTGATAGTTTACACCAGAACCAGCAAATTGCTCTTGGTGCAGTGTTGAGAGCGAGCGGCTTCCCATACCACATCCCCAAACACTTCATGTTTGCTATGGAAAACACGGAAATTCTTAAAGCCTGGACCTTTAGTCTCACATTATCAGACAAAAACCACCTGCACCACACACCAGTTTGTAACTTCACCGAAAACAGCAATACAGAAGTTAGAAAACACCTCTAGATTCTCCTAAAAGAGACTACAAAAGCATTTGACTTCTTAAATCACGTGCTAACTTAGAAAGACATTGGAACTGCGCGCAGTATTCCCTAGCATGATGCTGGTGCTTTAGGAAATCGGGAAACAACAGTGACTGGTAACAGCAGCAGAATGATCAGGAGTCTGGCTTAAGATCTAAACACTAACACATTTGTACACAAGACAGTAAAGAGTGGATCAGCCATTAAGGCATGCAACTTCAAGATTCAGTGCTCAGTCTAGGAAAAAGCATCTGAGAAGAAGAGACGGTAAGACAAGCAAGAATTCACTTGGCTTTTTACAAGTGTCAGTTTTAATCTCTAGTAGTAGACAACCTTCAACCCAGGAAGTAATAGCTTGCAAAATCAGTTTTGTTTTTACAAAAAGGACAGGCATGCAAGACTAAGCTAATCTTAGAGCCAGGATAACCTTTGTCACAAAAAAAAAAAAAAAAAAAAGATGTCTGGTATAACTGGATTTGTACAGGAAGCAACAAAACCTCTTAGAACAGTCATATTTGACAAGACTATACTTCCTAACATGTGAGTTGGTTTTTTTATTAACTGCCAACCTGCTATTTTGTTGAGAGAAGAGCTACCAATTTGATGAAAGATGAAAAAATGACCACAGGGCCTGTAAAGAGGGCCAGAAGCTCTGAAAACAACCTGCTTTCTCTTGGAAATCCAAGAGGAAGAAAGAAAAGTTACTTCTGGGTAAAGCTACTGAAGACTTTTCCAGAGCTACATTTTAAGCTGTCCATCCAATCCCTGGTGACAAGATGATATTTTAGAGGAACACTGGACAAACTCACTGGGGGATCTGATTGCAATCTTTTGAGAATTAGTCTTCAGTTCTTTCAGACATTATCAACTTGATAGCTTACAGAGCTAATAGCCCATTTCCCAAGATGGAGAGCATTCAGGAATCGCAGGACTTTATTTTTATGGTCCCCGGAAAAAGGAAGAAAAATAACAATCATGTTCTTGTCATCACTGTACCGTAAGATCACTAGTTCAGTATAAAGAAGATGGAAAACAAACACGTTCCAAAAATAATCTAGATATTTTACTACAACGTTACGAGTTTTTTTTCCCCTCTAATCAATACACTCTGGGCAAAACAAGAGGTCTTCATCTAAACTCTTCAACTAAAGGAATGAATGAAGTGCTCATATAGAAGACATTTGTAGATACAAAAATACACACTTGGTTTCCAGAGGTATGGTCAAGTACAACTTCAGTAAGTGGTCATCAGCTTACGCTGGGCTGCTTAGCTGCAAAAATACAAACCTCTTGCACATTTCCAACAGCAAAGCAGAATGCTGGCACAGTCACTCCCACAATACCTCTTCAAACAAATTGGAACAAGGGAACAGGAAATATTTGCTTGCCATCATAAATGGCTGCTTTATTTTAAGCACACCTCAATATACAAACTATGTGCCTAATACAACTTCATCACACTGAAGCAGAAGATGCCTAAACATAAGCTGCAAATCTTAATTTCTACTCCAATCATGTATTTGAGTATTAATATCTGGTATTTTCAAAAGTGTCTAGTCTTTGCGTATTTGCTTTCCCCCCTGCCTTCCCTCAAAGCCATATAACAATAAATCTCTGGAGCTCTAGAAAGAGTACAGCTTACTACATGGAGGGAAGATCATCTAAGCATCACAGCTACAACAACAAGCAGATGTCATCACTGTACCAAAAAGATAAACAAGAACTATGCTGATGCCTTTATTTTAATTCATTGCAACAACAGAAACTCTCTCAATAAGACATTATGAAAGAGGCAAGAAGATGTGTTTCTGGTAGAAGTTGTAAGCCTCACCTAAGTATTTCCCACAGTGCTCCAAGATTATTAACTATTGTCCTTGAAGACTGCCTGTAACTGCTCTCCAAGTCTAAGAAAGGAAGAAATACATGATGACAGCCTTTGTGTAGTCTTTTGATTCAAATCAGTAACTAAAAAAGTATTTTAGGAGTTGAAAACGTACCAGCAGAAAACAACATTTATGAAAGTAGCTTCTCCAACTATTAAACAACGAATACCTCATTTCCTTAGCAAAATGCTTAAGAATTAACTAGCTGTGCATAACCTGTAGACTACCATTCATGCAACTAAACAAAGAAGTCTTTTGAGCATAGAGATTTAGCTTGATTAACTGCTGGAAATACAAAGACACTCCGAACTGAACTGTAAGAGTATCTACCTAGACACTGTTTTGGGCACAAATAACCAATAGCATGGAGGGAAGAGGAAGAACTCGAGCATTCCTCTTAAAGGTGGATGTCACACTCTCCAGTGAAAACAGAAAATCTTTTTGGAGTAAGTCTCTACAGTTATTAGGACCACACTGCTACAATTTCATGTGCAGCTCATGCTGTCGAGTTATACCAGCAACCATTATGTCACGTGACACCACCAATTAATCTAGCGGTCATTTTTGAAGCAATCTGCTTGTTACATACATTGAAAAAAAAAAAATCTACTTAACTGATACTCTGGTTATGTGACCATGCTGCACAGGTAAACTGTTCTTCTTTTAAAATAGCCACAGCAACAGTTTGAAGGGTTGAGCAGCCTGTTTCCCATAATGTGCTGCCCGGAAACCCCAGCTCTTATTATTGTACAACAATAAGTAGACTACTCCCGTCCTTAGAAACTTATAATTTATATATAGCTTCTCCATTAAGCTAGCAATGCAGATCTCATATGCAAACGAAAGCTTAACAGAGATCTATAGAATACACTTGTCATCAGTGGTATGTCTGTAAAACAGGAAGAAGCATGCAACAACTAAACCCTGAGATCACACTGAATTTAAACCAGAAGTATTCAGACAGGTGCGTAACAGCGCAAAAGTATGTGCAATTCTGGTAAGTAAGTTCCCAGTGTGCGTATTAATTTATCTTATGCATACAGACACGTCAGCATTCCTTCAGCATGGGTCTGCAAGAACTTTAAATCACCAAAGTGCTCAGGAACTCGTATCTTTCTTGTGATGTCATAAGAGTAAGAAGAAAAAAAAAAAACCAAACAAAAAGTCCCCAAATACTAACTTCTGTCCTTGAAATATTTCAAACGACTAATGCTTTAAAACTTACACTGAGTTAACTGTTTAAGCTAGGAAACAGTGTCTATTAACAACCTGTTCTACAGCATAAAATGCACACGAGGGTCAACAGAAAGACCTATGATAGCATTACAAAAGCACACTGCCACAGAGCTCCGAGTTCCAGTCTCACGTGCAACAGCATTTAAGGCAGAAACTACTTCCAAATTGCCATTTTTTTTTTCAGACTTTTGTAAACATGCAAGAAATTCCACAGTTTTGCTCTGATTACATCAACTATGAAGATCAATTATTCTCTAGAAAAATAAAGACAAGTTACCTAGTATTCATTTTGTGTGTCTGAAAACCTAAATAGGGATCAAGAACCAAACTAGTTGCTAGGTCATCGTTTTCACACAGCTCCTTGGCAGACATTCCAGAGGAAGGCACATAACGACTTTGACCCTCAAATCCTGAAGCACCGCTACCTGCAAATAAGAGAGCATAAATTAGATTTCATTTAAGGAATGTTATAAAGCCCAGCTACACTCAGGGATGGTCAGCCAAAGACTGGAGACAAAAAATATAGCACAATTTAGGAAGATTATAAAATATCTGAAGAAGCAGAAGCACAGTGAATTTTTCACTCTTGCTTTTGTTCATTTATGCAGCAGTCAAGGGAGAAAATATTTTAGAATATATTTAATTGGTGTCTCTAATTCATTTTGGTTTCCTTCTCTCTTCCCCCTCCCCAACTACAAGCATCTTGCCAGACTACACAGTTCAGTCATGCATGCCTCAAACTTCTGACCTATAAACGTGATGAAGCCGTGAAAATTTCAAACCTGATTTTCCCAAAATCTGAAAAAAAGAACTTACTCTGCATTTGTATTTAGTCTTTCATCCCAGACCAACAGTGAAAATAAAAATCCACATTCCTTAAAACCGTTTCATAATGACTATTGACATATGTGACTTCATTCAAAATAGGGATTACTTTCACATGTGGATTCACTAAAAGCTGGGCTAGTAATTCAAATTATATGTGATCCACTTCCAAACGCACCAGTTCTCCCTTAATGCCAATCATGTATTCTATACTTACACCAGTTCAAAATTAATTTACATTCTTATTCTGACTCAACTTTTAAACTGATCTGAAGAGATCCATATTCCTGAAGGGAGACAACACATCCAACAACTAAAAACATAATTAATACTTGTGATGATAGCTACATGCTGAATGCAGACCTCCTTCACGAATTAAGACAAGACAGAAGCCTGACTTGCAAATTGATAGATGAATCACATACAGCACTCAGCCGCATAAACGTGTACGTACATCTGCTTGATCTTCTTTCAACTCCATTTTTTCCTGTCTTTGGATTCTCCTTTCCCGCATGCTGCAATTTGGTCTGATTCTGCGCATGGTCATTAGACGACTTGCTTCCACTTCTCCTGCCATTCACCACCATGTTCTTGGATTCTCCCAGCCACTTCATTCCCACAGACAATCTGACTCAGTTGCATTTAGTCACTTTTCAAAAGGCTTGGAGAAGTAGATGAATAATTTCAGTTCCAATTCCTACTGGAAGCAAAACATAAATATGATTAGAACTTAATGGGGAACTGCTTCCAAAACACAGATTTTAACACAAAGAAAAAAAAAAGGGGAGGGGTGGGGTGGGAAGAGGAAAGGTGGTGATCTGCACTTGTATTAGGAAGAGAGAAAAGCAGTTCATTAGCAGTATTGCAAATACAGATATCCACAGCTGAAAGACTGTCCAACAACTTACCACCACAGCTGGAAGCAAAGACAGAATTCTAAAGCTGATAAATTGCTAAGGACAACTTAAAATTAAGAGCTGGACTGTACACACAAATATACCTATGTATTTATACAGGCGTACATACACATGGCTAAATATATACACAGCTATGTGACTCCAAAACCAGAGTATTTTCAAATACACACCCAATTAAGATTCTATTTCCTAACAAATAGAATCTGTAGTCTGTTTGGAACTCTACAACAAAGAATGACATTATACAAACATCCTCCAAGAACTAAAGATGAACATAGTTTAAAAAAAATAAAAATAAACATACAACAACAAAAACACCCCCCGAAAACTGACAACATTTTTGCAATGAGGGTGGGGGAAAGATGTTAAATCTTTATTTAAAAATCAGAGTTCAAAAAACCCTCAATGATGATCTAGAGGATCCAGGTTACTATTTTTACTGTTCCTCGTAACAAAAAAAAAAATAAAATCAGGTCACAACACGTCTGGCTCAATGGGTCAGGAGTAAGCGGTCACAAGTAGAGCTGAAATTTTACAGCACATACATAGCCAGCAAAGCACATGCCTTTTTTTTTCCTTAAGCCTTTTGCATAAGTAAGAAAGCTACTAATGCTTTTGTACACACTTGTGTCTTGCTGTATATAACTTTCAGGAAAAAATCCGACACTCATTTACACAATTATTTTACAATTGCATTTATGCATTAGTAATTAATTTACTTGGATTTAATTCATCATCCTCCCCACTGCCTCCTCATAAAGAAATAAATTGTGCCTTTTCTTTTTACTGTAGCGCTCTGCTCACGGCAGAAAACAGGCATTTCAATCCAGTGGAAGAAATTCACAACCAACTAACAGATGCTTTGAAATAGTGCCTTTTGTAGAAATTCTGGTTTTAATCAGTTAAGAGAAGCAAAATCCTGGATTTCTGTTAGACACCTCTATGATCCAGCTACTTAAAGCTACAGAAATATTTATGGCCAGATGATTAGCAACTAAGTTACTTACAAAGATTCAGAAGATTGAGGCATGAGAGAAAAACAGTAGAGACAAGCGAGTTAACAGATGTATCGGTTCAAACATCTTACTAGAACTCTCATCCAGAAATCCACAGGTTTTAGAACCTGTTAGGAATTGTCATAGAAGGATAGTAAGATTATCAACAAAGTGTTAACAATCATACTGAGGAAAAGCTGGCTCAATTACTGCCTCAATATAAAGAAAAAGAATTGAGATAATTTCAGTGGACAAGGAATTTTCTGGCTGGCAGTGACAGAGAGGATTGGATTTGACCTCAAGATTTTAAAAAGAAAAAAAGAAAAAGAGTTTAAATGTCTATTTTACTGGACCAGCAAGCTTTAACATAACTCTTCTTCCATAGAGCTGGAACTGAACAGTTTGATTACTAGAATTCAAGTGTCATTCTGCATACTAACAAAATTCTTTAGGAATTCAGCCTTCAGAAAACAAACCAGAGACTTAAAATTTGCTAGGTGTAACCATATTCATTGCATTTAGCTATACATAGAACCAGATATTTTTTACACAGTACCTCCAGAAAAAAACTTGGGAAAAAAAAAGCCTGGTGTTGTCTAGTACAGGTTTAGGTGCAAGATTTCCTTCACAGAGCTTGCCTGACAACATATGTTTAAAAAAACCAAACCAAACAAAAAAAACCAAAAAACCATCCCAAACTTTCTTGTCCAAGCATCCCACCTGAACTTCTTTCAGCAGACAGCTACCCTGTGAAGATCTGTACTATCACATAGTAACACTTCATGACAAATTCACTCTTAACTTCCCTCTTTCTCCTTCTCAACCAGTTCGTTTTACAGCTCTATAGTCTAGTTAAATCCCGTTCCCCATTTTTCTAAGAGTGATAATAAAGAGCATTAAATCAGAAACTACATTAAAGACTTCTACTAAATTCAGCCTTGGTCCCTTTGTAAAGCAGGACTAACTCTACTCTGCCGTGTGCTGCGATTCAAGAGCAGTACAGGTACATGAAGTCTGCCATGAAGTTCGACCGTAAATGAATACCAGTATGCAACAATCTGGAGGGAAAACATTCAATACGGTAGCTTGTCTGACAACTGCCAGGTAGGGTAGCTACGTTTTCAGCTGGAAAAAGGCGTATTCTGCCCAAAGGCGGCAACTGATCTTGCCCAAGTCCAGTCTGGTGAGGGTGAGGACTAGCTGTGCTAACACACTTCTGCCTAACAAATACAGCGATGAAAAGGAAAGTATGACAGCAAAGGTAAGAAGGAATGAGGCCACAGAAGAATACTCAAACCATACTAAGCATTAGGAAAAATACTTGCTTTTGCTGCAAAATATGTTGATGTAAGTGACAACAGAGGTCCTCTCCAAGCAAAACCCGCAGTCATTTAGAGAAGCCTAGCAAACATTCTCGTGAAAGATCGTTATTTAGTTGAGACTAGTAGCCTGGTGAGCCAGAAGAGCCTTTGCCTCCATCTACTGCTGTCTGTTATTTTCCAATACCAGCCAAATTACAAACTTGAAGACTGCAAGCGTGCTTCTTCAGCCTCTACTCCTTCTCCCAACACACAAACAGTTATTTCAAGAGATGGCATCAAAAGCCAGAACCAGCAGACAGGACTCCTTCCCCAGTGAATATCACAGCTCCTCGTGCCAACAGGTAACGTAAAAGACAGCAAGAGACACCCCGCTCATCACCACCATGGGATCTTTAATGTATCTTCAGAAGTGATTTACTCCCAATACTTTCTATATCAAACTCATGCTCACAAGCCCTTTAGGATCCAAAGAAGAAAAGGAAAAGATGAACACCATCCTTCTATTCCATAAAAAACGTAAATACACTTACACCTCCACACACTTCGAAATTCCTGCTTAAAGGGCTGTGCCATCAAGTAATATAACTCCAGGCATGGATCACTCATGGCTTTGGGTTTATCTGTGCTCTTAGGTTTACCAGCACAATTACAGCTTCCAAGGGACCTTTTTTATTTCACTGTAAATATCCACATTGCTTTTTTAACCCTTTACTAATTACATCACTGCTCTTTATAATTATACTGCCTTTTATAATTCTATTATGGTAGTTTTACAGGCACATTTCCTCAAATGTCAAAATATAGCTCAATTGCATTCGGCACCTCTCATTGAGGATTTAGAATTTCATTGCAACAGTACTCAAAAATAAAAACTCAAGTTTCATTTATCTGGTTCTAAATTTATTAAACCTATTTACACACTTTCTGAGCATTATTTGCCTTTCAGTAACATTCGGAAGCACTAACCTGAAGCACAAACACACATGAGATAGTCACAAAGCCAGATTAATCCAGAAGTGTTTCCCAGACTGATTGAACAATACTCTTCAGATCTGTATCACACATGAAAAGCCTTAGTCCTTTTATACTGGAAAATGTAGTAAATCCCCATCAATTTGCGTAAAGAAATTCTATGGCTGTTAAAATGCATCTCAAAAGCTGTCTGAGGCTCTCAGGTTTTGGGCTCTCATCTGCGAGATCTGTCAATTCAGAAAAGCCTGGGGGGGGGGACAGGGGGAGCACAAAAATAAATCAGTAAAACCCTAAACCATACAAACACATAGATCAGTAACCATAAGAAATTCAAGTATCATTTATTTTAGCCTTCCATAACACAGTTTTTGCATATAAATATTTATTTTTTAAAGGACCAGGACAGCTTCTAAACAGCAGCAGTGGATTTTGCCTATCCCTTTCCAAGACACCGGGAAAGATGGTAGGATCAGGAGGCTTCCTAACAGGCAGGGTCATCCTCCCCTTTCCCACGGGCTCCAGTACACACCAGTCAAAGGATCTCCTTCTAAGAAACACAGTTTCTTAATTATTTTTTTTAAAATCTCAAGCATTTAAATCAGTTGGTGGGGGTTTGGGGTTTGTTTTGTTTTGTTTTTTAAAATTAACTATAGCTGCAAAAAGTCTTTCTCAACAAGACAGTGGACTAAAGCAAATATAGGACACAAAAACAAACCAAAAGACCCCATGACCACATCCTCAGCTTGTCTGGACAAATCCATGGTATCAAGAGAAAAAAAAATATGTGTTTCATTACAGATAGTTCTTAAAAAAAAAAAAAAAGCAATAGACCTTTGAATTTGGGAAGCAGAGCAAAATTATGCAATCAGTTTTTCTATAGGATCACCAGGCTGTAGACTATTTAACTATAGCCACCCCACCTGGGTAACAACAACAAAAACCCCCCAACAAACACCCACTCCTAAAAAGTGTTCAAGTTTCCAAGAATATAAAAGACTCTGAGCTCAAAGCTGAATGAAAACTGACACAGCTTTACGGATCTTATTTCGGTTACTGTTTTTTGACAGCTCGGACAAGTACCATTAAGGCAGAGAGGAAAGGGAGGCACAGAATACTTCTGGCTCACAAAAGGGGTGAAGGTAATGCACAGTGTCACTTTAAACAGGCCCCTAACGTTATCTGTTGCACTACAAATTATTACTGATTATACTAAAACACAGCAAAACCAGGTGTGGAACAGAGGTCTTTGCAACCACAGGAGGCAACCAAAAAAAAAAAAAAAAAGGTATTTGGGAGTTTACTTTCCCATAATCTCTGCAGTCAACGTTGTAGCTTAAAGAAAGGTCAGGTGGTCCCACAGGACTTGGAAGATTCTGGAGTTGAACTACAATTTCTCAACAGGATAAAA